CTGTTGTTTTGAAGGGCAGCTGGACAGATCCCACCCCCTCCTCCACCTCCACCTGACAGACTGAGAGGACAACAAACACAGGACAGACAGACAGCAGGTTCAGAGCTATAGAGAAATCTGTAGGACAATAATGTTTATTTTTATCTTTAAGGCTCACATAGCCCCATTATTGTTTTTTATGCAATGACCTCACAAATTGTATCACACATTTGTTGCATTCTTTACTGCACAGAGATATGTTTTGTAGAATAGTTTTGGATTTAGACTGTTAGACTTAGACACTAACAGATATGAACAGGGAGAAGGAATTTGAGGTGGATGGTCTGCCTGGATGGTGATAGCACCAGAAAGCATAAAGATTCAAGGTGGACTCTCCTAGAGAAAAACAGGGCTATAAATTCTGCTGTTAGGGAATGCTCTCTTTCCCCCTTCTCTCTCTCTACAAGCCTGACTGGATGACAAGCGATGGTTGCCATGGTGACGCGAGAAGAGATGTCTCCATACAGGGAGATGCTGGAAAGGTGCAGAAGATGAAACATGAGGCTGACATGGCGTCTAAAGGCTTCGTCCAACGTTTTGACCAATCGGGTTAAAACTGTTTTTGCCACATGCAATAAAAGTGTTTACAGCCTGGGTGCCTACATCAAAGACCAAAAGAGGAACATGATAAGGCACATGTTGCATGGAAAGAAGGAGGAAGGAAACGTTGGGGTCCAAGGAAAGCTGATATGTATATTAAGAGAGATCTTCTGGTGATAATAACAACAGTGTGTCAAACGATGATTAAAAGGAAGAGGCAGCATCATCCAACACAAAGTCAGAGTCTCAAGGTGACTGAAGCCAGACCAGCATCTGTAGAGGCCACATCTATGGCTCCACGTTTATATTCAGCTTTGTCAGCGAACTGAAGTTACACAATTTTAGCACTCTATCATCAGCAGTGTTGGGGAGTAACGGAATACATGTACCGCCGTTACGTATTTAAAATACAAAATATGAGTAACTGTATTCCGTTACAGTTACCGTTTAAAAAGGTGGTATTCAGAATACAGTTACTTTGTTGAAATAAATGGAATACACTGCGGTACTTTCCTGTTTCATATTGTCGCGGGTCAGGACTGTTTGGTTTTGTTTAACAGCTACGTTCTGTTGTTCCAGGCGGCGGCGTTACAGTTGCCATGGTTACAGGGCGATGCTCTCTCTTTCTCTGCGACTGTGTGTTTCCTGGGTGAGAGAGCGCCTTTTCGTTGTTGTTGTTGTTGTGCTAAGCTAACAGGCAGAATGCTACAAGCACAGCTCTAAAGAATGTAGCATCATGGGAAAAGTGGATGAACAGGATGGAAACCATGAGAGAATGAACTCCTCCTCTTATCATATAAGTTTGTTGGTAAAATGAAAGAGACTTAGTTTCATCACACTTTACTTTTAGCCTATTTAGCAGAAGCTAATGTTCAGAAGATTGTATTTATAAATATCTGAAACACTGCATGTGTGAAAAGAGAGGGAGAAAACTGTGAGCTCAGATATTTGCTGATCTTTAAAGTTTAAAATCGACACATTCCCACAGATCAATCAGATACAGGATATGAGGAATTATTCACCAGGTGGCCTTAATGACAGGAGAGGAGTTTGGATTCATCAGCTCTGAGCCTGATACTGAGGTGGACAACTCCAACATACCTGATAACCTGTGGAGTGGGAAAAGGAGTACCACGGTACATTTCACCCTTGATTAAAGGCAAATATAACTCTGGATTATTAAGCATAAGCAGTTAGTTGCTCTTTATTATAAGTAAAAAGAGTAACTGTTGAATATAATGAGAGTTATTTATTTTTATAGGCAGCACATACCGTTTTAATCTGATCCAATTTCTCCTGTTAAATTGGTGTAGAGGAGGAAGATGTTTTTGTCTGTGTGCAAACAACTTCATATGTGTGAGACAGTTTGTTTCTGCAGGCAAAGAGGTGTTTAATGCCCTCAGGACAGAATCAACACAATGACTTCGATACCAAAGTTTCCATCTAACTTTTTTAAAATGCCCAAATTTTAATTCTCTGTGACGTTATGAAGTTTAAAAAAAGTCTTAAATCGAACTTTCCTGAAGCCCACATTCAGCCTCAAACACATCAGGAGCATCAGAAACACCACAGAAGAAGAACAACACTGATCAGATGAAACATTACAAAGTTTTTATTTCACAGTTTATCATTATAAAAATATAAAATGTAAAAATATCAGATTTGGCCTCATCTGTAGTCCCTGTGCCTATCCAACCAATAAGCAAAGAGAAACAGTGAACAGCTCAAACTGAGTGAAGCTGGTCACAGGTCAGTTTGAGACAAACAACTTTAATACTTTGACACTATGATTGGGTTTATAACTGAAGTGAAGGCACGCTTGTGTTTTTCTTTCATGTAGTAAAATTAATATATTACATGATACAAGATATCTTTTCAAACACATTTTCAAAGTATTTTTTTAAAATCTCAATAATAAATAAACTCAACTGCTGCCAAGAGCATGCAGAAGCACCAGGCAGCAACATAACCATAACTGTGAGGAAGTGTTGGCCAATCAAAAGCCCACAAACAATAACAGGATGCAGACTGACATCTAACAAATAGATAAAGACACACACACCCCTGAAGGTGCAAGACAAAATCTGTTTCTTTGTCCTCATGTAAATACAGAAAATCTTCTGAATCTGAGAATCTTCACTTAGCAGTTGTAAAAAAAATAAATAAATAAAAACCCTTTGTTGTCAGGGATCCATGTGGATCGCTAATCATGTGGATGAAAGTCCAAAAAATACCCACGCACATGTGGACATAGCCTGAAAACGCTCCTCTTCACCTGTTACAGTGAGGGAACGTCCTCCATGATGGAGGAGCTGCTGGAAAGTGCTGAGAGTTTCCTCCAGAGTGAGACCTCTGTCACAGTTCAGAGGATCTACGGCAGCAGAGACCTTCATGGACACTAAAAGTCTCAAACACACAACAACAACATCACACTGACTCCACTCTGACATCACTGATCAATAATCAAAGAACACACAGATCAAACTGATTGATCAGCCATCAGAGGAGTCGGATCAGTGGAGCTGCTTCTGTTCCTGATGTCCCCTGTTTGATCCTGGACCTGAACTCTGCCTGCAGAAGAGACACAACACAGTCAGACAGGAACTAAGAAACAAATAAACAAACAAACAAACAAACCTTTGACTCTGAGCTGCACTTTTTTGTATCTGCTGGTTCTCCCGTAGACTTTACATCTGTATGTCCCACTGTCTCTCTCTGTGGGACGTTTCAGGGTCAGACTGAGGTCTCCAGCTTTCAGCGGGTTGTTATTCATCTCTGTTCGGTCTCTGTAAACCTGGTCCTGTTCTCCAGCCTGGTCTGAAAACACGTGGACCTTCCTGTCATGAATGTCCCACCACACCACTTTAGCATCTGCAGGCAGATCTTTTGTGGTTTGAAAGGGCAGCTGGACAGACTCCACCCCCTCCTCCACCTCCACCTGACAGACTGAGAGGACAACAAACAACATAAGCTGTGAGGGAAAATTTCTCTTTGAGTTTACACTGTTTTTCTTCCCTCTCATATGAGATTAATAAAGCTTGGACTTTACTGCCTGTCCATGTCTCAGTGTTTTGTTCTGTTGTTCACAGCTGATGGATTACGTGGATGCACAGGTCCTCTACTGAACCTTGTGACACACCATAGACAAGCAGTTTTAGAGACCCTTACTATTTCTGTTATATCCGTTCCCTCTTCACCAGAGTTCAGGCACTTTGACATTACTTGTTACACAATGCAGATGACAATCAGTTGTACATCTCTTTTTTTGAAGCCCCAAAATGTTTCTAAGTTAAAGATGTGGAACTGATGCTTAGACCATTAAAAGCAGGATTACTGAGAATCTTCTCCAACTGAATAAAGACAAAGCACAAACAGAGTTGAAACTAAGGTAATGGAAATGATATTGTAAGTCCCTTTTCCACATTTTCTAATTTTTCAATCAGGAACCTTTTGTTGACTTTTGATGCTTTTAGTTTGTGTAAATCTGGTTTGCTCTTGCTTTTTTCACTAAAGAAAGATTTCCAAGTAGTCTTTCTTTGTGTTGTGCGTCCTTGTCTCGATTATTGTTGTACAACCTCCCTGGGATGACTGCAGATCAACTTCAGAGTTCACTTTAAGATTGTGCTCTGAAAGATTCTCCTTCAGCTTCATGCTGATCGATTTCCAAACTGTTGCTGATCAGTAAGCTCTACCTTTCCTAGCTCACTGAGGAAATCTAGCAGTTAGAAGGTATGGCGATAAATTAGTGTTAAAAAGGTGAAACGTCCATATTAGGTACATCACATGTGAAAAACAAAGTATTATCTGACCTCTAACTTTAAGCTCCACCTGTTTCTTCATCAGGGTGTTTCCCTGTCTGTTGAAGACTGTGCAGGTGTAGGTCTTTCCATCCCAGTCAGTGGGGTATGTCAGGGTCAGACTGAGGTCTCCAGTTGTCAGCAGGTTGTTTTTCATCTGTGTTCGATCTTTGTAAAACACAAACTGTTCTTCAAGGTTGCCAGGTCTGTTCTGCCATATGTGAACCTTCCTGTGTGAACTGTCCGTCCACTCCACTTTAGCATCTTCAGGCAGATTAACTGTGGCTTTGCAGGGCAGCTGGACAGACTGTACACCTGAATCCACCACCTCCACCTGGGGGACTGAAAAGACAACAGAGCAATGAGCACAATAAGCATTGCACTGAATAAGTTAAATATTTGCAATTAAAACATGTTTGACTGATTCCCCTGAAGTTGCCTTTGATGTCCAATCATATATATATATATACACACATATATATATATA